GCGTGGGAGTCTCTCAGGCGCGGCGGCGGCGCGAGGGGCGGCCACTGTGCGGAGCTGCCCTACTCAGGGCAGCTGAAGTGTGCAGATAGGGAGGCCGCAGAGGCTCTCAAGCTGTTTGGCGGCGCGGCGGCGACGGCCGCGGGCGCGGTGTGCACCATCCTCGACGCGCTGCGCTTTGATGACGCTTGGGCAGGTGCGTGCGCCCCAATCCTTGCGCCGCGCTCTGCGTGCGGGCCGCGCCGCGGCCGTCCCTGCAGTGCGTCGCCATGCGTGATTCCAAGGGCTTTGCACCATCGATCCCGACGACGGTCGTCTGAATGCCTTTGGGCCACCCCAAAAGCAGGTCCGCAGCGCAGCCCGCCCACCAACCCACGGCGCCCTCACTTTGCCCTTCGCCCTGCCCCTGCCCTCTCCCCTCCCCTCGAGCAGGCGCCGCCGGCGCGCCGCGCCCCGCGCGCGGCGCCGCCGAGGCGCTGCCCGCCATGCTGCCGGCGATAGAGGCGCTCCTCCGGCGCGTCCCGCCCGCCGGCCCGCCGCACGCGGCGGCCGTCGGGCTGCTCGCCGCGGCGCTGCCCGCGTACATCTCCCAATCCGGCGCGGGCGCCCCGGACGCCGCCGGGCGCGCCGCCGCGGCCGGCGCGATGGTCACCCTGCGCAAGTTCGCGGCGCGCTGCTGCGGCCTGGGCGGGGCGGATTCGGAGGCGGTTGCTGAGGTGGCGTCGCACGTGGTGGACCTGCTGGCTGGCGTGCTCGACGCCGCGGCGGCGGCGGCGGAAAGCGGGGACGACGGCGGCAACGCAAGCGACCTGATCACTTTTGCGGCGGCGCAGCTCGTCTCTGCCGCTCTGGTGGGCCTGCAGGGTGCAGCGCTGCGCTGTTGACGCGCCGCTCGCGTTGCACTTGTCCTGCAGATGCGCGCGAAGCTTGCTGTGGGGGCCGCACGCCTGCCTCCCCCCCTGTGGTTGTGAGTATCATGCCTGGTGCAAGATGCTCACGTGCCACGCCTCATTCTGCCTCTTCATCCCCCCCTCCCCCCTCCCCCCCCCACCACCAGACCCTCGCCACCAGCCTCCTGAAGACGCCAGCTGGCGCCCCCTTGGCAGCCCGCCTCGCGCTGCTGCTCGCGCGCGCCGCCGCCCTCGGCCGCCGCGCCCCGCGGCTCGGGCTGCTGCCGATCCTGCTCGCGCACGGGGCGCCCGCATTCATGGCGGCTGCCGCTGCTGCCGCAGCCGCTGCAGCGGCGGCCCCGGCTGCGGGCGCGGCTGGCCCCTGCGACGCCGGCGCAGCGGCCACCCTGGACGGTCTGCTTGAGGCGTGCCTCTCGTTCGCTGAACAGATGGCCGCCTTCATAGAGGACGAGGCGGCCGCTCCGCCCCTGACTGCCACCCTCTCCGTCCCAGTACTGTCTGCGGACGCCGCCGCCGCGCGCGCCGCCGCCGGCGGCGCGCCCGGCGCGGCCGGCGCCGCGGCGCTGTCGGTGCTGCTGCAAAGCGGGTTGCTTCAGGAGGTGCAGCGGCTGCTGGATGCGTCAGCCGCGCGCAGCGGCGGCGGCGGGGCGCCGCTGGCGGCTGCGGGGTCGAGCGCGCCGCTGCCCGTCACCGGTTCGGGGCACATCAGAGCAAAGGTGATTCGCCCGGGGCGCGTGCGCGGCCCTTTCTTGCTTGCGTTTTCGCGCTTTCGCGCATGTGCGAGTGCCTGTCGAGCAGCGACGATGGGCCCGGGTTTTCCTGGTAGCATGAAATGGCGGCCAAAACCCAGGTACAACCGCTGTCAAAACCCTGATCCGCCCGGGCAGCACACCCCCTTGAAACCCTGACCTGTGGCTGCCTGAGCCCTGGTCCTGAATTTCCTGCATGTGATCGTGAGATCTTAATCCGCGAGGCTGTCTGACTCCTGATTACCGTCCCACCACCGCCCCTCGTCCCTTGATCTCCCTTAGATCTCATCAAGCGCGACGTCCCTGTGCGGCATGGGCGGCATGGGAAGCCGGAAGGGCAGCCTGTCGACGCCCCACGACTCGTGCCTGAGCCTGAGCAGTGCGGCCTCGCCCACGCCGCACCTGCGCGGCATGACCGCCGGCGCCGGCGCCGCCGGCGCCCCGCTGCCGCAGACGCCGTTTGCTTCGTTGCTGGTGGCGACGACGGCAGGCGCGGGCGCGTGCGCGGCGGAGGAGTCGCCGACGGCTGCCGGCGCGCACGACTGGATGGCCGGGGCCGGCGCGGGCGCGGTCGTCATGGCGGCGTCTGTCGGCGGCGCGTCCCCCTCTGCGCGGCTGCTGCTGCACGGTAGCACCTGCAGCCTGGGGGCCCTTGACGCGCGCGGCGACGACGCGTGGGCGTGCGCCGCGGCGCGCGCGCTGCAGGCGCGCTGCGACCGCGCCGCGCTCGCTCTGGGCCGCGCGGCGCTCGCTGCGTGCGGCGCAGGCGCGGGCGCGGGGGCACCGCGGCGCGTGAGCG